GTATGTTACCAGTTGTATTGGGTTCTGAACAGATAGAGAGATCAGGAGAGTGGGCGTTTAGATCGCCTAGGAGAAGCGAAGGACCTTTAATTTGGTTGATGAAGTCAAGATCGGAAGGGGAAGGAGGGAAGTTAAGAGGAAAGTAGGCATGGAAGACAGAGAGAGTTGTTATAGAAAAACGAATTTCAACTCCAATTATCTCCGAGTCAGTTTGCCAAGATCGGCTAATTAATTCTGAGTCCAAATTACTGAGAATGTAAACTGCTGAACCCCCACAGTACGGCCTTTTCTGAAAGGAAGGTTTGTGACAGTAGTAATTCCTAATTAGAGGTGGCTTTATACACTTGAGTTCGCTAAGACAGATAATGGTGGGATTAGTTTGCTCTATGTATTGCAGGATTTCAGGGCGCTTGCTTCGGAAGCCGTTACAGTTAAGGTGAAGTAGAGTAACTGTATGAGAGGACATTGTTAAGCAGAAGAGGAAAGGACGGTGGGGGTGTGGCCAAAGGAAACAGTAAAGCCGAGCGCGCGCAGGGTGGAGATGATGCCTTCCATCTGCTTTAGGAGCAGCTGGATGACTGAGTTAATCTCGGGGGAGGGAGAGATCGCGGGTGCAGGGTGGAGATGATGTCTTCCATCTGCTTTAGGAGCAGCTGGATGACTGAGTTAATCTCGGGAGAGGGAGAGATCGCGGGGAACGGGGGCGCTGAAACGTCCGCGGAAGGGGAGGGTGTGGCGGCGGCTGCGAGGGGGGGGAGAGAGGTGACGGACGCGGATGTGGGGGGTGGCGCGGGGGCCGAGGGCGGACGCGAGGGAGGCGCGGCGCGAGCGGGAACGGCCTGACTCGCGAGGGGGGATGTCCAAGCGGGGCGCGATGGGGGCGGAGCGGGGACGAGCCTGATGTGCGGCCTAGCTGGGGGCGTAGCCGGTTTAACGGGAGCCTCAGGGCCTGGATACCCATTCTGCTCGATCAGGATCTTCCTGGCAAGGAGCGAATGAGCGAACCTGGGGTCGCGAGCAATCTGCAGCCGTTTTTCTTGCCGTTTGGGGCAAGCGGGCGAGTTTGCTGCGTGAGCTCCTTGGCACTGGCTGCATTTAGGATGCAAGCCGTTCAGCTTTGCCTGGCAGGTTTTGTGGGTATGGCCCTTTCCTGAGCAGTACGAGCACACGTCGCGGTCGGCCTTGCATTGTCCTATGTAGTGGCCGTACTGCAGGCATTTAAAGCATTGAATGATTCGTGGCTGAATCACGAATTCTTCTACGCGGAGGCAGCCGATTTTAAACGCGCCTTCCTTGAGTATGGTGCGCGCGTTCTGGCAGTCTACCGCTTTAACTAGTAGGAGGGGGAGGGGCGCGGCGGTTTTGGTTTTTCGCATCCTGATGATGCCATTCTCAACAAATGAAATTCCATACTCAAGTGCGAGAACGTCGCGGACCACATTAATGTCCTCGTCCAGGCCGACGCCTTTAGCAACAAATTTGAGGACGGGGATGCGCGCACGCGCGGGATAGGCCTCGCCTCCTATGCCTGCTTCATTACACTTGCTCGCTACGCGGGCAACTTCCGCGGGTTTGCTGAGGGAAAGGACAAAGCCTGCGCGGGTTTCCGAAACAATTCCTCCTCGGGTAGTCATGCCCGCTCGGCTCCACTTCCCTAGGGGGTGTACACTGTTCCCTCGCGCTTAACTTCTAAGCAACTTCTTTCGGGATACCGGAGGAAACATTCCTGCCTCCCGACATAATGGTGGTACACGGGGACCCATCCTTCTCTCCACACATCAGATATTTAGACATAATAAGTCACCGGTTTAAGTCGTGGTAAATAACGCGACGCCAGAGGCCCCATTTAACGTCAATCCACAGAAATACACATGTTCATGAGTCTGGTTTTAAAAAAATACCCTGCACTATATACACGTTTGGTAAACATTATGAACACATTGTTACAGTTGCATAGGCCTAGTGTCGTAGTGGTGGCAGTTAGGAGAAGGTTGCCCTGCGTTGAGCTGTCCAACTTTATTGAGAAAACCATAGACCCATATTCTTTTCGAACTCAGCTATATGTTCAGCGACCTGTTCATTCGTGAGTTCAGCCTGATTCGCTTGAACTTGCAGCGGCTGCGAGGGTAGCCATGTTCCCACCATGACACCATGGTGGAGTTTGATTGGCTGTTCCGGTCCCAGTGTTCGAACAGGAATAAGGTTTCAAAATGTGCCTCCGGGACACCCGGTTCAAGGGATCCTGTTGCTCTATATTTATTGTGATACGGCCAATGTCGCGATGCGCCTCGGTATATCGAAAGAAGAAATGTCGACATGGAAGTAGTCGATGGCAAAAATTGAGATGGAGACAATGCAGAAATGTAGGAATGTGAAAACCGATTTCAAAGGTATTACCATTCTTCAACCTCAACCTCACCAATGATTTTTTAATTTAATAGTTTTACTTTAATGATTTTTTACGTCTTCAGCTGTCTGGGTGTTTCAAACTTTTGATGAGTGACGATCATCCAACTCATCTTGTGACCATCAAGATGCGTGTGTCTCCCATCAGGTCGATCTTATCGCAGAGCCGTGGGAGGAGAAATTCCTCGAGTTGGTGTTCCACAACGACCTCCCCAAACCTCCAGGCTTGAAGACTTATGCCAATGCAGAACGCAGGTAGGATGCGCTTCTCTGTTCTCCTCGCCCGACACACTAGTAGCGTCTCAAATGCCAACCTCGAGCTGTTTCGAATAGCTTTCGAGATGGGATCGGCGATATTACAGAGAAGAACATGATCTATTTCGTTCTTAGTTTCGTTCTCATCACCATCTACGTGGCCATCAACATGGGGAAATTCAATCTCCTTGAACAAAGAGTGAGTGCCTGTAGCCGATTATTTCTTCATTTCCGTATTGCATATTTACCAATATATGTTCATTTCACGTGTACCGTATGTAAGTCATCAAATGGCGTCCTCTAAGGGAGGACAGAAGTAGGCACGTGATTTGATTACGTCTGACCTCCTTTAGAGTACAAAACAGTCACTTAATTTGATTGTTTTGTGCCTCGACGACAAAAGTGATGACTTGCATTTACTGAGATTAATATTAATGCGGTCCATAAGTCCGATTCGGTAATCATGCGCATGACTCAAACGAGGCTGAGAGGGACTGGGAGGGACTGAGACGGATTGGGAATCAGTTACCCGGAGCAATCGTGTATTTCGACGATTTTCTAGCAATTTCTTCGAGCCAAAAAATCCGGGTTTCGTCTATTACTTCTCGAACGTCCTTATTCCGGGTCTTTTTTTAAGGTTCAAGGGCATATTGTGCTAAAAATTGCATTGGTCGTTCCAAAGTAACGAAATTTACTTTCGAAGAAAACTCGAGATCCTTGATGCGATGCTTCTCATATTCTGATATGCAGGAGGTAAATGTAGTTGTTTAAACTATGAACACTTTTGGGGAAAAAATCCATGCGTGATGAAGTACCCTCAAACCTAAAGAAAAAAAATTAAGCAACAGGAAGGAGTAGAGGAAACTTGAAATTTGAATATGGAGTATATGTTTCGATGTTCAAGTTTCAATGGCATGGACGAGGCGATGGGGAGAGAGATACTTGTTTTCTACCAGGTACTTGTCAAATGCTAAATCTGTACTGCATGGCTCAGAGATAATTTGAAGATTAGTTAAATATTTCATGATGCTTCATAAGTGCTTCATGACACTGAATGCATAAATTCTTCACATATTGCTAAATATGCCTTGAATGCGCAACAAATCCAAGAGATTCCTCTTATGGAGGCTTTTTGATGGTATCTCACATTAATTAACGGTACTTTTTTTTGTGTGGACCTCAATGCACTTGATCAATGTTTCATGTTTAGGTCTACCTGGGCCTGGCAGTGGTGTTATGCATCGGGCTGACGATCGTGAGTGCGGCTGGGCTGTGCCTCTACATTGGGTACATCCCGACGGAGATTCACAATCTGATGCCTTTCCTCATCCTCGGGATCGGCATCGACGACTCCCTCGTCATCATCCAGGTGACTCATTACGACCTCCAGTGACTTGTTACGACCTCCATGTGACCCGTTGCGTCCTCCGTGCGTCTCTGAGTCTTGTCTCTTCGGAGGTTTTCGTCCACTCGTGCTGCTTGAGGTATGAATGAAGGGAAAAGCCTTGCATTGCGGCTCCGTGATGATTGAAGCGTTGTACGATGACGCCTGAAAATTTTTTCCTTAAAAGAATAACTTTATAAATACTTCTTCAGGAAAAGACCCCATCGCAACATTCATGCGTCCTGTTCTTCTGTCAGATTTGTTTGAAATCATTCAGGATTTCAAGTTCCAGGGAGAACAAAATCTCACAACTGGCTATAAAAAGAAAAGCAGGGGTTTCAGATGTTTGTCAAGAATTGCCATTTATATCCATTGGGGTATTCTGAATTTGATAAAACCACGTCGTTGCTGGATGATGCCGGATTTTATTCTACTCTAATACTAGCACATCTCATACTCTCGCAGGAATCAAGTCATGCGTGACTATGAGACGTCAAAATTTTATTGACGGATGAGCTGGATAGGATCGTAGAGGAGGTGTAAGGCTTTTAGCACCATGGCACGCAAAATAACAAAATAATAATTTCGGTGGTATTGGTTTATAATAATAATAATATTATCTGGTTAATCGAACTTCCAATCCTCACATTAACCGTGCAGCGACATTTTCTTCCAACCATTTCCTTTCTCATTAATGATACCCATGTAGCGTGTACCCAGTGAGCCAGCTGCTGACATGTATCTGCTGGAAGGCGGTTGGTAGCCGCCGGGCTACATCATCAATTATATTGATGAATACGTCAACGGTGTTGAAGGAGGCGGGAGGGGGGGGGGGGGCGAAGGCCACATGCGGCAAATGACCCACAACTAGGCTCAGGTGATCGACCACCGGCTCTCTTCTCATAGCGAGGCTAGCATTTTCCCCTTCCACGTTTTACGAGGTGAACCCTGTCCCTACAGGATGGCATACTTGCTCCTCTAGAGTCTCGAACGCAAACCCACATTGCTGACATTGGAAAAGAATTCCCTTCTCCTTTTTTCTTTTTATGTGATTCATGGACAAATATGAGAAAGTGGAATAAAATTTCTGATCGCAATATAAGATTCTGGAAAATAACATTTTGAAGTTCCTTATGAATACAAAAGTGCAAAGAGTATAGGCTAAAAAATATTCAAGTTTGCTGTCCAATTTTTTCCTTGTACAAGATTTACACTCAATTCACTCCTCTGGATTCACTCATCAGTTCACTCCTCTGAAATCCTAGAGCGCAATCAAGGGCTAACATTGCTAACGTACCAAAAGAATTTGCCCTTCTTTTCTTTTTTCAATTGAGTATTCAATTAATTCATTGTACAAGATGTACACTAAATTTTCCGCTCTCGTCGTTCATTTCAGCATCTGTTAGTGGGTCGGAATACGGCAGTTGGTATCCCTCAACCTAGAAAGGGTAGGTTCCCATCAGCTCTCTTTCCACAACGTGGCCAGTGACCCACAAAATACATGCTACTTGGGTACATATCTACATCGATTATTGCCATGCAATAAAAATTCGATGGACGTAACCGGAAAGCGATGTTGCTGTAGTGCCTGGAGAACGTGGTGTCAAAAGAAAGGACTTTGAACCCGGAGAAACGAGTGGGAGAAGCGTTGAGGCAGGCTGGAGCCTCCATCACCATCACGTCCATCACGGACGTCTTTGCCTTCGCCATTGGAGCCACTACGGTCTGTTTGCATCATCGCCTTCCCGGCGTCTTTTACTGGTGTAATGATTGGCAGCGGCGCAATCTTATCGGGTGAATTGGGCTACTTACTTCCTACTCTTCTTAAATGCCAACGAATATGTATTCGAAAAATTGCGTGTCCACAACGCTCCACAAAATCTTTAACTCCTGGTATAAAATGGTACCTACAGTAGAATGCCACAATGAGTTCCCAGCTAGTACATATAATTATATCGCATATGATTTCTTATTTGTCATGATACTCTTCACCTTCTGCAAGTGTTAGTTTCATCTGAGTGCCTTCTGTTCTCGTTGAGCTCTTGCTGGCGACAAGTAGGCAAATCTCTGATATTTTTCTGAAACTGAACTGTATCCAATTCAGGAAAGCTGCCTTCGTTTGACAGGCAGCTGCTGAAGTAAGCGTGGATTTCAATAATTTTGCCGGTCTGTAGCAGTAATAACTTGCTTATAACACTTAAAGGCAGCATAAGAGTAGGTTAGACACGCCTAGCGTTCGGCTTGATATTGAAAAACCTTGAGGCGGTAAATAGCTTGGCTAATCTCCCGCTAATAAAATTATATATCAAGATAGAAATTGCCCATCAATTTGCGAAGAAATTGGGATTTTTCCAAGGATTGAATATTTCACAGAAAGGAAAAACATAGCGGACTCATTCGAAATTTTCAGACAAAAGGAGGGAAAAGCACATTGACGCATATACGAAGGGGCAACAAACGATTTAAATGCAGAAATTTATTGCTGTGGGGATTTGTGAATGAAACTAGTCAGAAATACGCACCATTGGTACTAAATTCTCCCAGAGAAATATTCGATCAAAATTGACCCTTGGGAGCTGGAGATGCTTGCACTTCTGATATGCGAAGTTTCCCGGACGAGAAATCGTACACACGAAAGGAACAGTTTCAGGCATACGCTCTTAAAACGTAACTTTTGCATGACTTTACGCAGACGTTACCCCTGCGTTTAAATGGCTTTGGAAAGGTTTCTAGGGGTGCGGAGCCTTCGCGGTGATTTGAACATCTCTACAGAAAAGTTAAAAGGAATTTACCGAGATGCGGTAACTTTCGATTCCTACACTCTACAAAGATATTTCAATTGGGGAAGAGAGTCAGTTGGAAGAGGAAAAACTAGGAAATAATATATCGTATCATGGTCAAGTGGCTGGGTTTACCCCCATAATATCGGGATGTCCGCGTGGCGCAAGGTCCCAGGCGGACCGCGTGCTTCCTCGTCCTTCAGGGTGGAAGCTTAAAAATCCCTAACTCCAAAGAATGTTCATCGGACGAGGGCAATGTCTTTAATAAAAGGTTAATTCCAAATTTATTAAGCGCTCTGGTGTCACGGGAACTGCCATAACTTTTAGGAATGATTCGAAATCTCTAAATGTGACCAAGGCATCATGGATAACTTTGAAAGACGTAACTTTTGGATAACATTCCCTCTTTTACGTTAGAAGTAGCTTCGATTTCAAGGTTGGAAACTTGGTAATTTTCTAACCTTTAGTACTGGTTACTTAAAGGTTACATGTATACGAGTGCAGCTTTCTGACGTTTCATTGACGTGACGATTCCGTGATGTAATAATTCCACGTTTCTAGCGGGTATTCCTTTTGTCTTAGAAGTTACTTATACAGGGTCTCCAGTAAGTAACTGAAGATGAGGAGGTTTCGTGCCCGAGACCCTCTGACTTAGACCTCTGCTTCTTAAGTATCAGGCGCGAGACCTACATGAATATGCTCTTCTAAGCCAAAAATGCTGAGTACAATGCCTATCTACTGTCATTTCTAAAAATGAAATGTTTCGCTTCTTCATCATCGAACGATGATCGTACGGCCTGCAGCTAGAAAGATTAAGAACTATGTCGATGCCGAATGCCATGATCCTTACTGTTCTTCAGAAGGTTCCACAAATATTGATGTTTACCATCTGACCAGAGAGTACCAGTGCTCCGGAGCTTCTGCATCTACACGACCGCCGGGATTTTCATCGTCTACGTCATGACCTTGATATTCATGGTCCCGATTCTGTCTCTGGACGAAAGGAGACGAGACAGCGGGAGGGAAGGATGCTTGTGTATTCGCTTGCCAGCCGACTACAAGAAGAACAGTTGTTCCCAAAAGCTCCTGCTCGAAGCTATTTTCCGCAGGATCGTCAGGCCTTTGCTTGTCAAAACTCCAGTGAAGGTTCGTAAACTTCACGCGCTCGAATGGACAGAAATATTCGCAATTTCACCAGGGTGTAGTGATTGTACAAGTGCATGTCTTGCAGGTCGTTGTGGTGCTACTTACGATGAGTCTCTTGGGTCTCAACTGTTGGGGATTGTCTGGGTTGAAGAACGACTTCGACAGAACCTGGTTTTTTAATCCGGGATATCAGAGAGACTTCGTGTCCGCTGTGCTTGATCTCTTTCCAGAAAGCGGCTATAGAGCTGACTTTTATCTTGGTGGGTCTATAAGGACATGAAATGCCGATTAGATGTGGTGAATTTATCAATGAGAAAGGGGTCTTTGGCAGGGAATACGGATTACTTCAGGGAGAATGAAGCACTGGAGGATTTATTCAATAGACTGTCGGCTCTTCCAGGGATTAGGAATGGATCTATTGAATTCTGGCACCACTCTTTCCTGGAGTATCTCAAGGAAAAAAAGGCAAGCCTATCCGAATTAAGAAAGTTTCCACAAAAGCGATGAAATTGATCCTCACAAAACGTCCAACTCCCATGTGGACTTGTAAGCAGGCAGATATCATCCTAAATAGTGTTCCACCTGTTGGAGCGATGAACCAACCGAAGAAAATTTCACCTGGCGCAATACATGTGCGCAAATGGGTCGGTATATTTCCACCAGGCTGGGACGTTCATTTTGTTCCAAATGCACTACCTATCCACTTAGACGTTCAAGTAAGTGGTTAAGGGGTGGAGGTTTTGTTAAGGGTTACCTAAGCAACTTCGGTAGGGGGACCGCTGAAAAACTGACTTTAAACTCAGCTCAACACTCACTTGCGAAACTGTCATGTAGTAGGGTCATGTTTGGAAGGGGCATAGCCCGTTGATTTGTCTTGAAAATTTTGGGGGATTGCGCGAGAAGGGTTCTTCTCCTTTTTGCATGAAAACACGTTGAAAAGGCCGTGCAAGCGGCCAACTCTCGATAATCCGGACATGAGATAGCCTGTGATTTAGTCTGGATTTTCGAGAACCTTATTATCTCTTTTCTCGGTTTCGCTTCTCCGCCCTGGACCGACAAGGAGCCATGAGAAGAAATTGATTGGATTGGAAAAAATGAAAAACGTGGGAGATTCTAATCTTTCTCGGCCTTGGAATCGGTTTGTTAAGGGGTGACACACCGTGCCAGAAATTAGGCCAGGCAGGACAGAAAAAGGAAACCCATGCAGTGTCGGGTTGGGTGCCGAATGGTGAATGGACAGTTAGCTTTCGCTATAAGGTCACAGCTGACCAGATTACCATTATATCTAAATAGAGTTTGTGAGAATTCCGTCAGGTGATGTGAGTTATATTTTTCAGAGGACTATCCGAAAACCGAAGCAGCATTCGAGCAGAAGCTTTCCACCTTTCTGGTCTTTACCAACCAAGGACGGAAATTCATAAGCGATCTTCAATACACCGGGAACCTCTTAACGGACTTCAACCTCACCGTGAGTGCATGCTGTAAATTAACGCAAGACTCGTCGTTTGGATCGGGAAGCTATAAAATGTGTACCGTACCATTCAGGCTTCGAGAGGTAGGTACCAACACATTTATTTCAACACCAGGGAAGAAAAACGACAGGGACTCCACGAGGTGGAAGAGGTTCTGCACGGAGTCCAATTCAAGGGGAGAGATCCATTCAGAGGGATCCTCACTGTAGAGTACCTTGTCATCCGATCGAAGGGAGCAAGCGGTTTCCTCACTTAAAGTGCGCATCTCCGAGGTTCCAGTGAAACCTTTTCCCCACGTTCATGTAATTTGTATGCAGGATTCGAATGTGCCAGAGTATTATTTACATGCATATTGTCTTTGCGATGTGCTGAATGTCAATTGGTCCCGTTGGATTTCATGGTTGTGAGTTGCTTTCGAAGAAATAGTTTCACATGGTTTTTTCATTTTGAGGTTACAACCAAATTCAGACGTTGAGAAAATTTTTTGTTATTCTTCGAATTTTTATTTTAATTATTCTTAATTCCAAGTTTAGGTGTAGCTATGCGCATTGTTTTGCATTCTCGGATCGAGCAGTATAGAGAGATAGCATGCTTTGGGGCTTTTTTTCGTATCTTATGGCTTGCATTATATTACCTGGTTTCAGCATCGGTGGGCACCATAACTGAGTTTCTGTTGGTCTTTTCAAAATTTCTGTATACAGACAGCAATATTTATTCCTGGCTCAACGCGAAACAGTTGGAAGCTCGTTCCTTTGCACCGTCACCCCACCTATCAAATTAAGAGAAATAAACAAATTTTGTAAGGAACTGCCAACTACATCAATGGATAAAATTGCACGTGTCACAAGAGCGGAAATGCTGGAACGGATAATATCGTATTATAAAAAATGGTCAATAATCGAGTTCACCGAACGACTTTCGGCTAATCTAATTTCTTTTTAACTTAGGTTTGTTGCTTGTGTCAAGTGATATTTTTGATGCTTTATTTTAAGATCTTTTTAATGATGAAATTACGGATGAGGCTCATGGACTTACCAGAAGTCAAAGAACTGTAATCGTTCTTCATTATTTGGGTACACTTATGGATCTCCCTTCACTTTCCTCACGTCCATCTCTTGATGCCGACGGCCAGATGGGAATGACTGTGGTATAGATCTGGTATGACGCGTATTGGCTTCAGCAGACTTAATGGAGATGCTGAATGGCACACTGGCTTCGCTGTATTATGATTTGCATGTTACTCCAAAGGTTGTATCCGAGGAGCTGCTGAGGAATCTCGGTCTGACTTTGGTCGGAGTTTTCGGGGTGATATTGGTGCTGATTGGAGACCTACTGGTCTCTATTTGGGTTTCTCCTGCATTCTTTTCACCCTGATCGGAATCGCAGGCAGCATGCGATTCGCCGGTCTTACCATCGAGCTCATGTCGTCAATACTTCTCATCTTGTCTGTCGGCTTGACGGTCGACTATTCCACGCACATCGCTCACAAATACTTGGTTACTTCTGGCGATTCTAAAGACGGTACTGGAAGCGCTCTACTACTGAGAAGAGCTCTTCTCTGCTGAGAAGTAGCAAATATAATGTTCGGTTCGTTTCATAGACCGAGTGAAAATCACCTTGGCAGAAATTGGTCCTCCCGTTTTCAATGGAGGTTTTACGACAATTTGTTTGTCTTTGGAGCGAAAATTATCTCTTCCAGATTACCCTCAAGGTGAGTTTCCATATACCGAACCTGGTATAATTTGGTAACAAGTGTGTTTTGAAGCATACCGGCAAAAGCTTTATTTATGTTTTTTTTTGTGGTAGGTCATCTGGTTTTCGGTGATATATGGATTGTATCACGGATTGGTTTACCTGCCGGTGATGTTGAGCTGGTTTGGTCCACAAGCTTTCGTTGACTTGCTGCATTCAACCAAGAATAGCTCTAACCAGAGCGGCCTCGATCTCGGTCAAGAGGAGGCTTCAGAGACGCCTGACGCCAGAATGACATATCTTGAAGTGTAACTGCAGTGTTGGATTTCTATGAACTTAAGGCGGCATAATAAACAAAGTTCCTAGTATCAACCATGATATTTAAAGGACTTTCACTCTTTGGAATAAATTTTCAGTGGCGCAGACATCATTTGGTGGGGGAGGGTAGAGGGGACGGGATGCTGAGTGTGGGAGTGAAGGAAGGTTTTTCAATACATGGTAAATAAAAGAGTCCGGACCACTGAACTCTAAACCCCTCTTGGTAGTGCTAAGGTGCCCTGCCATTTTCAAGCAATTATGAAAAGTTGTCCACACTTCGATTTATCACTTGGATGTTACATTATCATTTAGGTGTTCAATTATGAAGATTATTGGGGAATTTTTCCGAAAAAAAGGCAAATTAGTACTTTTCTAAACGTTCCATCTACATCGAAATTGAGTCGATCATGGCTCGAAGGCTGTCTAGTGTATTAATCTATGATCTTCCAGAGAAAGTTTGCCTGGAAGGACAGCAGAGGGTAGTATCCGATCGGAAATCATTCAAGACGGAAGGCAAAGGGGGAAACTGCAAGGAAGGAATCGTCTTCCGTCTCTCCGAGTCGCAATGAGACCGAGTCCTGCGCTTGGATGTATCACCTTCGGCTTCCCAGAATCAACTGACTTTCGTCTGTTTCAAAATCCCATCTGTGATGTAATCTTCCGTGACTGCGGGCGCCATCGAGACGCTTGTACAAGCTGGGAGTTTTATGGAAATCCCGGCGAGATGGCTTTGGGCTCGTTTTCATTTGTTGTATCGAGTTTGTGACGCGAGTAATGCCTGTGCTTTGAGACATTCTGGAAATCTGTTACTCTCCGTGAGAGAAAATAATGTGAACATGACTGTTAATCTATTTCAACTCCCCTACTTCGTGACAGACGTCAATTTAGAATGACAGGAATCAGAGACAAGGCATTATTTGTTCTTACTGCGTACAATAGATATCAGTTGCTTCCCAAATTTCATTTTCTGTCTCATTCCCTCTTCCTCGTCATTAGAATGTAAATTCCAAACAAAAGAGTTTGGGAAATCGTCGATATGGGGAAAGTTGTAGCCTTGGAATGTTCTCATCGGCCCACCCTGGACGTCAAGGACAGAACTTCAAAGATGACAACGATGAGAGGGACGCTGTGTGGACGTGACTCCGCAGACGCGGAGCAACATCAAACATGAAACACATCGGAACGTCATCATGTCCGCTTGTAAAAGCCGAAACAAAGATATCGTGGAGGATCGTGGTCATTGTTTTTTTTTTGCATATTTTATTCAACAGTCGATGCACTCAATTCACTCTGTCACTTCAGCATATGTGAAGACCACAAAAGTAGGAGAGAAAAAAAAAAGGATTCAGTATACATTGGGCAATAGAAAGTAATACAAAGGGAAGCCCTTCCATTTGAAGAGAACAAATCGTTTCCATAGGATAGCTATCTTAATCATCCGTACCTGCAGCGTCAAATGCCGAAATGCAAGGAGACTGATATTTTCTCAATTTTTTATTTATATATTTTTTTTCACTTCTTGGAGAGAAACAGTGAGAGTGAGGGGTGATACCTTGGCCACTTTTTTTTTTTGCCCTCCTTTCCCTTCCTATAAGGTCTTCTCTTATATCAATTGCTCTAATTTGTTAAGCATCTTTGTCCAAAGCATGTGCTCCTCCGGGCAAAACAGTAGCTTTGATTTCAATTTTTGAGACGCAACATAATATGACAGAGTTTGCTTTACTCCTGTCAAACTCGGTCTCTGCTTTCTTAAGTGATAGATGAAGAAGTATTGCTTCACCTTCACTAATACCGTTGCAACCGACCTGTCCAAGAGCGTATTAGCTTGGAAACCTAGTAGTATATCCCATTTGTTCATTTGTCTTTTCTCGCTAATACTTACCACAAACTTTCTTATCTTCTCCCATAAAATGTCGATCGTTCGACAAGTTAATAAATTGTGCATCAAGGAGTCCTTTCTAACGTTGCAAAGAGAGCATTTCTCGTTTTCTTTAATTCCACATCTATGCAGAAACGAATTGGTAGGCAGAATTCTGTGAGTAAGTCTGAACTGGAACCATTGTAAAGTAGGATCTAAAATCCGCGTGTGGAATCGTAGTAGTTGTTTCCATTCAGTCTCTTCAAGTTTTTCCTCAATATCTTTTTCCCAATTTCTGATGCATTGTAGGATCTAAAATCCGCGTGTGGAATCGTAGTAGTTGTTTCCATTCAGTCTCTTTAAGTTTTTCCTCAATATCTTTTTCCCAATTTCTGATGCATCTTACTTGCTGCAAAGAAAATTTTCTCTTTACCAGCATTGGACCATACAAGTAATTGGCTCCTTTCTTTTTTGACAGTAATTGCCTCACAGTATCTGAAACAATGGGTAGTTCTGGTCTTTGCGGTGACTTAACATTTTCTTTTCTGCACAAGAATCGTACACAGGAGACGATTCCCCAGCCATCTAGATAAGTGCTTCTCTGAAGTTGATATTGTCTTTCCAGTTCCTTAAATTCCATTACCTTTCCTATCCCATATAGGTCCGCCAGATAATGAATGCCTCTTGAGTCCCAATAATCTAAAACCTTCTTTTTTTCTGGACTATAGGTTGGCAGTTCAGAGGAAGGCAGCCAATCTCAATAGCTTCTCTATTAGGTCTCCCTTTTTGGAGTTCCACCCATGCAGCTAGGACGTCTTTCCAGAAGTAATTGGGACATTTCTCCGCATATTCCTTGTTTAACGTGCACCCGGAACGTAGGATTTTTCCCAGGTCTAGTCCAAGGTTTTGGAGTATTGTTTCATACCATTGATCATTGGAGAATATTGCTCTTCTGAGCCAAGTTACTTTAAGGGCTTGACAATAGATTTGCAAGTCCGGAACTCTCAGGCCGCCAAATTGAAAAGGCATTCTCATCTGATCCCTTTTTACTTTGTCCTTTTTATCTTTCCATATATATTTGTAGAAAACGCGCTGCATATCTTTTAGATAGCTGTCCTCCGGATTTGGAAGGTTTGAAATACAATAAGTTAACTTCGGTAGTAATTTTGTTTTCAAAATAACTACTCTA